AACATGATGAAAACAAAATTTCATTCTTATTAGAAGAGATGATGTATAATCATTGAAAAATTATTTAAAATTTAACCCAACCAATTGACAAAAATATATTTAATTCACATATTTTGTGTGATTTAATTCATATCATATTCAACTATTATTTTGGTTTCCAAAACTAAAGCAGTTATTAATCTCAAAGTAAATATTTTATTTATTCGTTATTTTTTAAATTAATAAATCAAAATAAAATTTTGTATTGGTTAAAAAAGAGCAGAAAAGATTAAAATTTAATTTAATTTTTTTAAATAACACAAATATAATTGAAATAAAATTGAAAATGATGAAAAAAACAATTTTTTATTCTTGATTGAAAGAAGTAAATGTATAATATTTTATCATCATGTTAATACTATGTTTAAAAAGTAGCATTTAATTAATTTGTAAATTTTTTAGGTAGTTTGAGTATATATATTAACTTATAAGTGTTTGATAAAATAACACATTTTTGAAATACGACATATATAGATTAAAAACAAAACCGTTAAAACATCACAATTTACATTAAAATTATTATATGAACATCATATATTTTTAATATATTATCAAAACACTAATATATAAAATTTATATCATCATAGATATAATTGATTGTATATAATTTTTATCAACAAAATATCCACACGTAGCGTGGACACAAAATCTAGTCTATATCTAAAAATTGATTGGTTAACCAAAAAAAAAGGTCAATCTATTGGTTATATATACAGTTTTTTTTATCTTTTGTGGCAGGTTCGATTTTCCGGCTTCAATTTTTTTTAGAATTCTCTAATTTAATTAATCTAGGTTTTAAAAAAGTTTTTTCATCATGATTAGAAAACAGAAATATTACTTTTCTATTTGTCTTTATTGAAAATGGAAGTTTTCTAAAAGTTTTCTCATTGTAAATAGAAAAATCTTTACTAAATAGAAGGATATTACCAAATCTGTTTTTACAAATCGAGAAAAAAAATTCAGTTAATCAAAAAAATATTTGGTTATATCAATATTTATCATAATAAAAAAATTCTAAAGCCTAAAAAACTATTCATATATATATATATATATATATATATATATTGTTTGTGTCTACTCTCACATTTGTTACGTGTTCTCTTTTCATTTTTGTTTATGTTTTAAGGTTTAACTGAGTTTTCTTTTCATCGTTTCGGTTTAGTTTAGTTTATTAATATTTTCTTTTCTTATTACAATACGATAAATATCTAGCTTTGTTGTTATTTCTTATTTCAATAAGATTGATCTTGATTTCTTTGTTATTATTTTTTTTGTTTTAATTGTATTTAATTAGTATGAACTAATATTTTGATTTTTGATTTTTATGGTATGTGGATGAAACAAATAAAAGAAAGAGCAGCCGTTTAGAAGCAAAATATAATTTGGTGAGGACTTTCAGATCCCTTTCATATTTATTACGTATATTAGTTTTTCGTTTTTCAGTTTTTGTTCTAGGGTTTAGCCGAATTCTTTTCTTTACATGTTTTTTATGGGTTCTTAGTGAAAGACAGAAGTTGAGGTATTACCTTAAAACTCTTAATTATTAGTTTGTCTATATTTTTTTTCTCTAACTTTATTTTTTTCCTAATAGTTTTTTAGATAATATGTATATACATGTAAAAAATTTTTCTAGCTTTAAAGAACAAGGATGTATGAGACGCAAAGTCGGTTACGTTATGAACATATATGATTATGTTGTATAGCTTCCATTGCAAGTTATATTTTAATTTCATGGTATTAGGAAGTTTAGGTTAAAAAATTCAATATGTGTGTATGTATTATATACACATATATGCATTGGTTCATCTACTTTGTTGTTCGTTTGTTTTTTTTTTTTAGTTTTTTGATTTGAACTTAAGCTATGATCTAATTTTTTTTAAGTTACATAAATACGACCTCAAAATTTGGGAAATGTGACTATAAATTCTTTTAAAAAAACTTAAATGATGTTTCATGTATTGCTTAACTCTTTCTTTTTGGTATATTTGTTTTTGTTTAGTTTGAAAAGCTTAATTTTCTGATTGTTCTTAATTTTTTATGTCGATATTTTGGATTTTGTTTAATCAAATGAGTCTAGTTTTTTGGTGTTGTATCTTCTTTAAGACAAGTGAATTATGAAGGATTCAAATTGTTTTGGTATCTTTATTTTTCTTTTGTGGTTTAAGTTGAACAAATAAATAGTTTCTTCTTCTTTTTATATAAAAATATCACAATATTTTTCAAGTGTTTTTTCCTCTCTTCTTCTCTTTGTAGACTACTTTCACGATTTCTAAGAAATTTTTGAATTTCTGCAAAGCTCTTGTCTAGGAAAGATTCGAATCAGATCTGATATTTCTGCAAAGCTCTTGTCTCTAAACGAGCTATGTTATGCAATTGTATTGGCAATCTATTTTCTAACAATCGGGTTTCGCAGGAAGCGTGTGCAAGAAGGTGTCCCTCTTTATTTCCCTGTTTGACGTGACTTGTCATTTACGCTACAAATTTGTGTAGAATATCAGAGTTCATTTTCTGTAAATGTTCTGGAAAACAAATAATTTCGTGTGAAATAATTGAGATTGAAAATACATAGCTCGACATATCATATAGCTGAATGTAGTAATTTCATAAGTAGCTCCTGAAATAAATGCAAATGCATATATGCAATAATGGAAAAAGCTATTTTTAATCAATTAATAATCAATTTTTAGAAGAGCTTAAAACACAGCATTGTAATACCAAGTCACAGAGCATGAGATATTTTACCAACCCTATTTGAAGTCAAAATTCCCCAAGCCAAATAGAGTTGGATAGGCATTACTGTGAGTGTGACCATTGCAGTTAACTTGTTGGGTAGCACTGGACTTCAAGTGTCTCTCACTCTCTTGTCAAATAGAGTTGGGTAGCCATTACTCTCTTGTCATTTACATGGTGTGAAAACGTTGTTGCCGTCTCTACGTTTCTGTCATTTTATTTACTGTCATTTATTCGGATTTCAATATATGTTAATTATTGTATATTTATCTTTTATTTTATTATACATTTAAACAAATTTTGGTTGTTTTTGTGAATGTATGGTAAGCTAACCAATTCCATTTTGTTTTAAGAAAAAAAAGTAAATTGGAAAGAAAACAAAATTGGAAGTAAAATAAATAAACGGAATCCATGTACAGAGGAAAAGGAAAGAGAACACATAAGGGAAAACTATAAAAAAAAAAAACATAAGTAGGAAGATCGGTTGAGGGGCAATCATCAAAACCCTAACTTCTACTTTAAGAGATCTCCCTCGAGTCGCTTTCCTCTTCCTCGGGTGACCAGATCACAAAGAGAGAAACAATGAAGATGTCTGATCTTCCATCGGATTTGGTAGAGGAAATCCTCTATAGGGTTCCGGCCACATCTCTAAAACGACTACGAACTACATGCAAACGATGGAACGCTTTATTCAAAGACAGAAGATTCGCCGAGAAGCACTTTCTTAAAGCTCCAAAGCAGTCTCATGTTCTCATGTTGAAGGCAGCTAAGATTTATGCAATGAACATCGATCTCAATGTTGTTCCTCCGTCTATAAATTTCAAAAGCACACTTGACCTAAAGTATTCTCGTCCTTATTCAAAACAAGTTAATTTAGTTGATGTTTGTCACTGCGACGGTTTGTTGTTATGCACCACCACAGACAATAAACCCTTGCTTTGTATTTGTAATCCATGTTTAGGGCAAACCAGGTGGATCCAAGTCGAAACTGGTGATCACAAGATACAATCCACTAGGTATTCCCCTTCATACTCTAGGTTTGCTCTAGGATACGAAAGCAAACAAACTTGCCGTAGTTACAAAATCTTGATGAGGCGTTGGATTTGGGTATGTGACTGAACAGACAACCGAGTTTCTGGTTTTGATATCTATGAGTTTGCCTCTAATTCATGGAGGGCTCTCAATGCTCCCAGTGATAACAGCTTCAAAATAAGAAGCCGTGGCGTGTCTTTGAAGGGGAATACTTACTGGCTTGCATGTGATGACATAGGCAACTACTTCGTACTCAGTTTTGATTTTACTATAAAGAGATTTAGACGTTTTAGTCTTCCTCAGACTCTTGATCATAGCGACTATAGGGCTTTATCAGTTGTTAGGGAAGAAGAGCTCTCGGTGCTAATCAAAAGCAATAATTCATCAGAGGTGGGGATTTGGGTGACCAAGAAAGATGATACAGAAACAGACTTTTCATGGAGCAAATCCTTTGTAGTGGACTTACACCATACTGCCTGCAATGATGTTATTGTTTGCACGGGTCTTTTAATCGACGAGGAGAAGAGAGTGGCTTTGTTTTGTAAGGTTAGTGGTGGCTACAAAGTATACGTTATTGGAAAAGATGGTAAGTATTACACAGAAGCCCCTGTTCCAAGATATGAATTCTTCTCAAATTCAATTTATCATTGGCCATTTATTTTTTATTATGTTCCAAGTTTGGTTCCAATCCAATAAGGCTAGTGGTTTCTTCCAGCTCTTTTTTTTATTCGTTTTTATTTTGTAGACAAGGTTGTTTGATTAATTTAATGATTTGATCTTTATCATTCCTTTCTTCTTAGTGATGTATATGTAGTTTTGATTTTGTTTTAAATCGAAAAAAAAAACTAATCCGATGGTGATGATGTGAACCTGAGAATGGCTTTGCTTATAAAGAGAATTATATTTTGTCTAGCTCAAAGATGCACAGTTCAAGAAGGTATAAGATATAGCTCACTGTTAAAAGAAGATTGATGGTTTGTTGGTTTTCATTCAAAAGGAAAGTTTAAGTGCGAGCTAAAGGAGAATCTAAAGGAAACAAAATGCAGAGAATGCAAGAACTGATTCAAGGGCTTATTCACTTCAACAAGGTTAAATTGTTGTGCATTAAACATGTTACAACAAGACTCATCTTGAAGCACATGCTTTGAATTTCTAACTGCACTTGTAGGCAAGGTGCTAAATATTATCTTAAAGGCTATAAGATGAATGTTCTTGCCTTCTTGGTATGCTCAGATTTAACAATAGACATGAACAAGAAAAGAAAGAAAAAAAGAGAGGCTAATTTACAAAAGAGAACAAGAACTTGGGATTAGAGGCTTCAGTGGCTTTAATCAGCCTATATTGCAACCTAGCGTCAACCTGAGTTATAAGGAAACTGAAAAACAGAGTTCTACAAAAAAAAACAGAGCTGCAAAACAGGAGAAATGGAGAAGCAACGAGCACCCCAAAAGCTGGGGTTTAGGGTTTTACGATGCTCCAAGGATATCACCTACTCTTGGGTTTGCTCAGTTGAAACCTCAAAACCTGGCGGTATAAACACAATGTCGTCCCAGTTTGACGCGCTTTCCTGCAATTTTGATTCAAAATCAGATTCCTAGGTCATTTCTTATAGGACCTAGAAATGAAAAATGCACAACAGAACTTTTATGGTATATATACTCTTTGATTGCTTACCTTCATCCCCTTGACAATTTCTTCGAAAACTGCAACCTTTGGAATATAAAATTCATGCATTTCATCAATATGAGATGAGAAAATTATGGATTGAACAAGCAATAGGGAGAATAAAATGAGATAACAATAAAAACCTGAATATCTCCCGGTTTCAGAGCAGGGTTAAGCCGGTTCTGTTGGCGTGCAGCTCGTATTAGGGATTTTTCCAAGTCCTCCTGTTAGAGCTCATTACAGCTAAATGTAACTAATGTATGGACAAAAGTGATAACTACACAAGAACATGTCGTGGTCGTGAAAGTTATAACCAACCTTTCTGAAGAAAACAGGGCGAAAAGTCTTGTTATCACTCCGTAGAATCAAGCTCTTTGACTAAAGCGAAACAGTCAGATAGATCGACTTAAAAAAAAAAAAAAAAACAGCCAAGTCATAAGTTTTGAAAGCATTGGTTTCTTTCTTTTGGACATTACCTGGAAAATTGGAACACCATGGAAGTCGTCATCAGTGAAACCAGCTGTTTTCCTTTCCTGTATATATACTCATAATGTAAGCACTGTGCCTAACCAAATGCTGAAGGGAAGACTTATAGGCCAAGTCTTGTTCTCAGATAATTAATGGTACTTCACAATCTCATTACACAAGGTCTACCAAGATTACTTCCTTAAAACCTACATGCTGCAAACAAAAACCCTACAAAACCGAATCAAAGAACCAAAGATAGAACCCTAGGGTGAATTCTACAGCACCCCAAAACTCTCATAAGCCCAAGCCAACCCTAGACCAAGCCATAATGCACTCTCCTTCTGTTAGCTCTCTAGTTAACCGACTCAACTATAGTTGCTGAGCTATCAACAGACCTCAAACCCATTACAAACCACCTAGTATAGTTAAATTGCTTACTAAACTAACAGCAAGGTTTCTCAGTAATGTGCAGAAACTGTACCCTCTATGGTGACAAGCGGCTAAGCTTTTTGAGTATCCAAGAAGATATGTTCTAATGGAAAATCAACTATACCTTGAGGGCATTTTTAACTTGAGTAGACTCCGGGATCAACCTAAATGCCACACCATTAACTTTTAACTGGAACGCCTGCAACAAACAACAACAACACACGAAAATCAACAAAAGCAAAAAAACCAGTGAACTAAGTACGAGAAAAAGAAAGCTAATTGATTTTGGAAATCGAATTGCTTTACCTTGCTAAGAGCAAGAGCTACAACCTTGGAACCTTCTTTCCTCATCCGAGGGTCCATCATCTTCATCTGTTTAAGAAGCGCCTCCGCATCTTCCTCTCTACAGAACAATAAACCCAGAGATTTCCCAGTGGAAGTGCCTGAAACCAACACAAACTCCTCATTCGGATTGCTCAGCGCGTAAACAGGAACTCCCGCCAATCTCTCCTCCATATCTTCGGCGGATAATCCCGCACCCCGAATCGGAGCCGCCGTCGCCACATGGGTCTTCGCGCCGTCGTCAGAGATTCTAGCCCAGACGGGTGCGTTTTTAGAGCCGGAAACGGAGGTGAAGCGAGAGAATCCGGAATCAAGGGCTTGTTTAGCTTGTTCTCGCAAGGAATCGAGAGCAGAGAAGATGTTGGGATGATGCTCATGCTCAGTTTTGTGATTGAAGAGAGGATTAAGTGTTTGCGAAACGTTCTTGAGTAAATTGGAGCATTGGGTATGAATATTAGAGAAGGATTCTTGTAAATTTAGCTGCTTTTGCTGGAAAATGTTTGAATTCATCTTTCTCGGGAAAATTGCTAAACCAGAGTAGTGAAGGGTTTTGCGAAAAAGATTGATCCTTTTGATTGAGAATAACGAAAACTATAATGATCCTCTGTTTCTAGACACATTTACTGTTATCAACACCAACCACTTAGACTCCACCACGTGTGTGTACTTTGACTCTTCTTCTCTTTACTTCTCTCTTCTCTGTGAGCTGACAAGTGCCACGTCACCTTCATCTCTAGTCTCTCACTTTCCCTCTCTCTCTCCTTATCCAAATCCGTTACCATGAACGCTTATCAACCTCCATCTTCTTCTTCGCGGCTTTTGCTCTGCCGCGCAACAATGGCGGTTTTCGGCGGCGCTAATTTGGGCTCTGTTTCTTTCTCCTCTCATCTATTCGACCAACAGTCTTGTTTTCTCTCTTGCCCTCTTAGACTCCTCTCCTCTTCTTCTTCTTCTTCTTCAAATAGAAATTCTCTCCTCTGCGTCGTCAAATCCTTCTCAGGCTCCGTCACCGCCGATACCGATACGAATTCCGATCAATCCTCCGTCCTTTCCGCCTCCAATTCTCTTCTCCGGGATACCTCCGACGATGCCGGATCCACTCGGGTGCGTTTTTCATGCTTCTCTGTTTTGCTTCTGAATCCTTCGACTTCTGAATTTTATGGTGAGAAAGGTTGTAACTTTTTTTTGATGTAATTGACGAATGAAGTAGATGTCTAGCGATTGGAAAACGGCAAAGGCTTATTGTAAGAGTGGTGAGACATTTGAAGGTGAAGTCGAAGGCTTTAATGGTGGAGGCTTGCTTGTTCGTTTTCATTCTCTTGTGGGTTTTCTTCCTTATCCACAATTAAGCCCTTCACGTTCTTGTAAAGGTAACTAAAGCTCTCTTCTTTTCAAGAATATTTCTTTGGAAGAAGTGTCATTGACCGGTTTGTGTTTTCTTACATTGAAGAGCCTCAGAAAAGCATTCATGAGATAGCTAAGACTTTGGTCGGTTCAAAACTTCCTGTAAAGGTAAAATTCTCTTCTTTTGTAAACACAAACCGATTTGGCTTTGAGGTTAAAAAATCTATATATATGTATAGGTTGTTCAAGCTGATGAGGAGAATAGAAAGTTGATATTATCTGAGAAGTTAGCACTATGGCCAAAGTATTCACAAAACGTTAACGTTGGGGATGTGTTTACCGGAAGAGTAGCTTCTGTTGAGGACTATGGTGCTTTTATCCACTTGCGCTTCGATGATGGTATGTATTTGCATTAACCAAAGTTTCATTTGATTGCTTTCTTCTTCTTCTTCTGAACTTGTTACATTGATGGTATTATAGGTCTTTATCATCTAACCGGACTAGTGCATGTCTCTGAAGTATCGTGGGATTATGTTCAAGATGTTAGAGACGTACTACGCGATGGTGATGAAGTTCGGGTCATAGTCACGAATGTTGACAAGTGAGTTTCTTCATTTTGGTCATTTTTACTAGTCATGCATACATGATACATATCTTTTAATTCAAGAGTTGTTTCATTGCAGAGAGAAATCAAGGATTACACTATCCATCAAACAACTAGAAGATGATCCTCTTCTTGAAACATTGGACAAAGTGATTCTGAAGGTAAAACAATGTTGTAAATGTGTTTTTTTGTTGTTCTCTTGTTTGGTTCTTAGTGTGATGTATAATAGATTCTGAATATTATTACAGGACAGCTCTGCGGGATCTCCTTCGCTAAGCTCTAACAATGGCGATACAATTGAACCTCTTGCAGGTCTGGAATCAATTCTTGAAGAGCTATTACAGGAAGACGGGTAAAGACAAGATTAGGAGTTACCATTTCAGTCTTAATGAGTCTCTCTGCATTGCATCTTCTCAAATAATAAGTGAATCCTGACTAGATGGAGATTGTTGATTGCATTAGTTTAGATTCTATGTTTTAGGCAGAACCATCTAAAAAATTAAAGAACATACTGGTTTCAATGTGTAAAGCTACATCTTTGATCAATCCTTATATTCATTTCCTATGAATTATCTCTAACATTGCAGAATAGAAGCAGTGAGAATCAACCGGCAAGGATTTGAGAAAAGAGTGGTTTCACAAGATCTTCAACTTTGGCTCTCAAATGTGAGTTGTGTTTTTTCATGATATTCCAATAAGCATATACTATTGTTTTTTGTCTACGTTGTGAAAAATTTTTCTCATCCGTTGCATCTCTATTTCTCGCAGACACCACCTTCTGAAGGGAAGTTTGTTCTTCTTGCACGTGCTGGAAGACAGGTAGCTATCCCTTGAATCTTATTTTCATGCGTTTGTGGCTTATATTACAGATTGGTTCTTGGTTTGATTTGATGTAAAACGTTGTTAATTCAATAATTCAGGTGCAAGAGATACACTTGACTACGTCTCTGGATCAACAAGGAATCAAGAAAGCGCTTCAGCGAGTACTAGAACGCGTCCCATGAGAACCCCTAAGAGATTTGCTTCTTGGCCACAAAATTAGCTCTATGCATCTCTTTCAACATTTGGTCACTGTACTTTGATTCTTTATCAGCACAGGCAAATGTACTTCAAGTGGGATCTACTAGTCCTTCAGAAAGCTAAAAAGGCAATGCAATTCATTTGTATGTTGTATGTCACAAACTACCTATGAAAATATATGTTTATACTCAATTGTTTTGGTTCACATTATAAACAAATTTACATACAACTCAGAATACAAAACATTCAAGATCATTAATAACAACAAATAAGTCATCATCATACTCAGGATCTAACCTTCTTCAAGTCAATTATTGACTTTTTGAAATTAAACAAACAGCTGACAACATTTCCATGTTTTGGTAAGTATCTTCCTTATTTCTTTTTTTTTTTTAAATTAGTCTCTTAACCAAGAATAATTAAACATGATAATAAAAATCTTTTTTATCCTTTTGTTTGTTTCTCCCTCCCACAACTTTCCTGTCTCTGCCATGCACATGCTCTCTCTCTCTTCTCTCACTCCAATGATTACAGAGGCCAGCCTAAGCAGCCTACCCACTTTCACCATCTAATGTTCCCACATTAACATAAACCCACGTAAGATTCTTCTCCTTTTGAACTGTAAAATTCACTCTTTCTTTTTTATTTTTCTTTAATTAAAATTAAAAAATATCTTATCATTACTTTCCCTCTTTCTTTTCTCTTTTGTCATTTTCTCTTAACCTCCTTCTTCTTCTACTTCTGCTTCTTTCCCTCTCTTTGTTCAGTAAAAAAGTCACCGCCTTCTCTTTCCTCTTTCTCACTTTGATTGATCAATCATTCTTCTTCGTTTCTAAATTGCTAACCTCTTTCTTTCTCTTTCTCCTGCTTCTGCAAATCCTGACTCATTTCCGCTTTAACGAAAACTAAAAAACCCAAAATTGGTTATAGCTTGTTTTGCTTACATTTTCCTGGGAAATCCAGTCTCTTTCTCTTCTGGGTATAAGCAAAACACTGTCACTTGTTTAGAGTCTGCGAAGAATCACACAGAAACAACAAAAAGTTTGGTCTTTTTTCTACTTCTCGATTTGGTTGTGTTTCAAAAAATCTCATTTTTCTCCAGGAAAATCTCTCAATTTCCCATGTAGAAGCAGCTTTCTCTTTTCCCCTTTTTTTGCTTCAGCGAAAGTTTCAGTCTTTCTTCAGAGTTCCCCAGAGAAGTTATTGAAATTTCCACTCAATTTTGTAGTCACAAATAGTGAGTCTCTGCTCTATTAGATGAACATGGACAAGCAAACGGAACAAACCCTAAATTACCTACCTTTGGGTCAGAGCGATCCCTTTGGCAATGGCAATGAAGGAACCATCGGAGATTTCCTCGGAAGATTCTGCAACCCTCAAGAGATTTCACCATTGACTCTACAATCCTTCTCCCTCAATTCCCAGATCTCAGAGAATTTCCCGATCTCTGGAGGAATCCGATTCCCTCCGTATCCAGGACAATTCGGATCCGATCGTGAATTCGGGGCTCTCGGGTTGCAGCCAACGACGCAGGAGAGCAACAATAGCTCGTTGTTGGATCCAGATTCGGTTTCCGCTGCTCAAACCACGAAATCAAACTCCAGGAAGAGAAAATCGATCCCCACTGGAAATGGCAAGGAATCTCCAGCTTCATCGTCTCTTACAGCTTCCAATTCCAAGGTCTTGATTCAAACACCTCTCTTACACGCTTTGTGTGTAGACTATTATAGGAAACTCTAGCTTTCTTGATTCATTATGTATTTTGTGGAGACTATATCTATAACATGACCTTTAGTGTGTTCTTGATGTTCTTGAGGATGTTTAAAACTCTGATGAGAAACGGGTTGATTTGGGATTTGTGATCAGATTTCAGGAGAGAATGTTGGATCCAAAGCTGGGAAGAGAAGCAAGCAGGATGAAGCTGGGAGCAGTAAAAGCGGAATAGAGAAGTGCGAGAACAAGGACGATGCTAAGCCTCCTGAGCCGCTCAAAGATTATATTCATGTTAGAGCTAGAAGGGGTCAAGCAACGGATAGCCACAGCCTCGCTGAAAGAGTACGAACACCTTTGAGAACCGATCTGTTTTGTTGTCGATGTTTCAGTTCAAATTTTACAATTGTTGATGTTTTTTGCTGTGTGTTTGGTATTAGGCTAGAAGAGAAAAGATCAGCGAGAGAATGACGTTGCTTCAGGATCTGGTCCCTGGTTGCAACCGGATTACAGGGAAAGCTGTCATGCTTGATGAAATTATAAACTATGTGCAGTCCTTGCAGAGACAAGTCGAGGTAAAATCCGAAATGTTCTTGAAATTGGAGCTGAGTATTTCTTAAATCTTAAACTCGCGGTCGGTTTTCTTTCAGTTCTTATCTATGAAGCTGGCTACTATAAATCCAAGGATGGAGTTCAATGCTAATGCTGCTTTATCCACAGAGGTAAATATTCTGTTTTTCAAGCTTTGATTCAATGTTGCTCTTATCGAAATGTTCTGTATCAATAATGTGAGCATCTGTATGTGTAGATGATTCAACAGGGAGAGTCTTTAACGCAGTCTCTTTACGCAATAGCATGCTCAGAGCAAAGACTTCCATCAGGATACTATTCTCTTGGCAAGAATATGCCAAGATTCTCAGACGCACAATTCCACTCGAGTGATGGATTTGTTCAACCTGAGGTAGTTTACTAGCTAAATGTCAGATTCTAGAAACTGCGTTTTTGGTGTATAACTTTTCTCTAATCCGTTTGTGTTTCTGATTGATTTCAGACACCAGGATTCTGGGAAAATGACCTGCAAAGCATTGTTCAGATGGGTTTTGGAGATATACAGCAACAGAGCAACAACAACTGTAAGAAAAATTAGAACCATCGTCCCATTGTGAAATTTTTTAGAATCAGTCTCTCATGCTAATTTCTTTTAATCTTTTATGTTTTCAGGTTCTGAGCCAACACTTCAGATGAAGCTTGAGCCATAAAGCTCTGATTAAAAAGGTGTTTGTTATGATTATATCTCTGTACATACAGAAACCAAGTAGTGATGAGTACGGAGTGAAACATGTGGGAATGAATGTTTTACTATCAGTTCTTCTTCTTTGCTTGTGCCTCTGTTGATTTCTTCTGAAGCCCAGAACAAAAACAAAAAAAAAAAACGTTTCATAATATGTAAAAAATCTGACAAGAACGTTTTCTGTACCATCTCTGTATTATTTACAATTGTTATGTATTATTTGCTCAACTTGTAAGAAACGAGAATAAATTTGTTCACTTCTTATATATATATATGAAACAATTACACCTATAGACACTTTCCTAAACTAAAATTACACTATAGACACTCAACTCATTGGACACTTTTCTGTGTGTAAAAATCTATTATATTCTCAACTAAACATATCAATCGTAATTTATAGTTTACACACATAGAATAGAACTATCATTTTCTAAATTTACAGTTTAGAGTAATTTATGTTTTCTTACATTTTTTTTTGCTTATAATTCACTTATGTTTTGCTTTGAGTTCACTTTTATTTTGGTTATTTCTGCAGATTTGTTTTAGTATTCTAAAAAAGTATAACATATTGATAGAATTTCAAAACAAAATGATTTATCATAAATACTTTCTGGTCACACAAGCCTTTCTATATACACTCTTTTGCAATCGTCAATCACACAGGTCATTCCACACTTTAGACATTCCTCACAGATTCCTCATGCATGCTAATACAAGACGACACCAACATGATTTGTTGTTACCGTACTGTACTATCAGAACCTCCCCACTCTTCATTCTCTTGTTCATCTTCTATATCCCATATTTTTCTCGTAGCCTGAAATCTGCAGAAAGACAGGTAAAACATATCAAGTTTTTATTACTTATTTCAAACATATTACAAAACTGGCATAACAATCAGACTTCAGACTACCATCCATTTCAGACTAACAACATGATCATGTATGTATTCATGTGTGTCAGTTTAGGCCTCATGACTGTGTGAATCTCTAGTGAAAGGGGTTCCGATTTCTATATAAAAACAAATATTTACGACATAAATTAAGAATATGTTCTTCTATCTTCTTACATGAAGAGTGTAAATGTCTAAATGGAGTGACGACTATTCTCTCAAGCTGAGGAAAGAGAGTAGAGAGTGTTCTATAGATAATAGATGTATTCACTTTTTAGATAGATATAAAATGCTTCATCAATCTGATTCGTTTATATATAGCTAAGGCAATGCACATGCATACAACATATGCAAAAAAAAAAAAAGGATATTTATTATTATTTGAACTTTTTGCGTACATGAAATACATTTTCTTGCAAATTTCTTTAGGAAATAGATTTCCACGCGTCACGTTTTAGTTCCTCTAAAATTCGGATTGTTGTTAAAATCTAGGGCAAATGCTGAAGCTAGCATTTCTTTTGGTAACTCGTTTGCTCCGTTGTTAAAATAAAAACTTAAACGTGTCTAGATAGAAAAAATTACGATGTATTATTTTTACAACCAAACATTAATACAAGACCCAGAGACGAAAGATTTTCCGTAAATGGAGTAGTCACAGTAATCACTTGTCACAAGCACCCCAAAAACGAATACAAGTTAACTCTTGACAAATCCGTATTTACTATTCTCTCCGTTTTTTATTAATTGTCGTTTTAGAAAATTCTGTTTGTTTTAAATTAGTTGTCGTTTTCAGTTTTCAATACAATATTTATTAGTTTTTTATTTTTTACAATTATTTTTATTATGTAATTTGTTTTATTATTGGTTGAATTGTGTTTAAATAGATAATTAATGATGTTTTTATATTGAAAAACTAATACAATTAATGTTTTCTTAATCTGTGTGCATAACTCCAAAACGACACTTAAAAAAATACAGAGGGAGTATAAAAAAGGATATATATAAAGTTGGGAATGTAGATGTGAGGAGTTAGTTGACTCCGAAGAAGATACATAGGAAAAAATATGAAATTTGAAAAAAAGGTTTCTCTAATTAATCACAAAATTTTGAAGTAAAATAGCAAATCTATATACTGATTTATTTATGTTCGTGAAATGATCTGAGAAGCTTACCTTCAGAAACCGCCTTCAAATCTATTATATTTTCCCATTGCAATATTTTTGTTTCCACTGAGCTTTTATCTATTAATTTGATAAATCAATTTCTCTTACAAGGGAATCTAACAAAGACATCTTTCAGATGAAACATGGATGAATACAATAATTGTAAAATTGTAAATTGATTTTGTAGGATATAAGAAATACAATGAGAGGTTTGCAAACTTTAGTTCTCTATCTCACAGAATCAGATCAGACCTCAAACAATGTCTTGTTTTTTTTTTCTATACACATTACAGAAAAAAATGTTTGTCAAAACGAAATTATATGTTGCACCGGTCATATCCCGAGAACCAAGAAGGCTCGACGAGCTTTGACAACTCTGAGTCTTTCTTGTAAAATGGCTCGAACTCTTCTCTCCATTGCTGATCACCAGAACTTGCTGATGATGGTTCCACTGGCTCATCATATTTAGCCATAGCATCGCCATTAATAGAAGCTTGCAAAGACTCTATGGGATTGTGTGACTCTGCAATGTGATTTTCTTGGTTAAGAGTGCTGATTCCGGTTTCGTCTTTCCTCTTCAATTTATCAATCTGTTTATATGCTTCTGACGCTTCATACTCTGCATCCATTGCCCGTTTCTGCGAATACACAAGCCAGAGAGATTTAATTAAGAGTCATATGATAGTTTTGATCTTTAAATGTTTAGAAATGTACCTGTGCAAATTTCAATCCTTCTTCAGCTTCCTTAAGTCGAACAAGTAACTCCCCTGCTGCTTCAACAGCTTCTGCTGTGTCTCTCAGTTGTGACTGGAGACTCTTGTTCTCATCTCTGAAGTATTGTGCCTCCTTCTCTCTTTGCACCTTTAAAGCTGAGATTTCTGCTGCAAGCGCGTTTATGAATCTTGACTCTGCTCCCTTGACTCCTGCTTTAGCTGCTGCTTTCTTAACATCGTCGATTCCTTCTCGGATCCTCCTGTGTCTTGCGAGCAATTGTATATGCTTCTCTTCCAGGTCTGCGTATTGTTCAATCATCCGTGCATGCCCTTGCATCGCCATCTGGATTGCTTCGGTTAACTCTTCTGTGCATCTTTTCTCAGTGTCCAGCTCACGCTTCTGCTTCTCCATTAGCTTCCTGTTGGTATCAAGCTCATTTCTTAATTCCTCAGCTAGAGAGATCCAGTTGCTCTCCGCTTCAGTCCAGCGAACTCTTTCCTGCTCTAGTGTCTTCTCAGGACTTTCGTCCATTGACTCAGGGATGGTATTAAGTGGTGGAGCCTGATTAGGGTCACAGGTGTATGTCAGCTTAAGCAGTGAAGCTCTTTTCCGAGATGATGTAAGAGAAGTGTCAGTGTAACAATGTAGATGCGCCTTTAAATCTTGAATCTCTTCCAATAAGACTTCCCTTTCTCCCATATCACCATAGAAGTTTTTGGAACTTTCGAGCTCTTCTTGCGCTCTTTTCAATTCAATCCTCGTCTGCAATACTTCAGGGTGGTTCTCATACATGTCCTTCAGTAGCTGCAGCATTATACGTATGTTAGGAAACTTTTCTGCATCGATTCAAGAATCTTCTAAACAACGCAAACCAAAAAAAATTTACCTTATGCTCATGCATGAGAGATGCAAATTCTTCATCCAGGAAATCATCTTTAGATAACACTCCGTCCATGAGGCTTTCAAGGCGAACGATCTTGTCCTCCCTTGTTTGTCCTATGATTGCATTGCACTCTCTCTCATGTTTGTACTGTTGCACCTGTTTAATTTGTTAGAGACAGTTAAAAAGGTTCTCTTGCTTTGTGGAAACTAGAGAAAGCTTTCAAAACCAAAACATAAGCTAGGAACATACCAGCCGATTAAGCTGTGATATTTCAGAAGCCTGCTTAGTGCAGAACTCTTCCAGGGCCATTTCTCTTCTGATAGACCCTGCTAAAACCTTTTCCACTGCCTGTAAGTTAAGAAAACTCCATCATATCGTTACACTTTACAAATGCAGAACGCAACGCAAAATATAATTGAAGTGCTTACTTTAGGAACTTGGAAATTGGACTTCTCTGTAACTTCTGAGTTGTCAACCGGCACTAACTGGAGATTTGAAATGTCACTTGTTTCTGGGGCATCGCATTCTGCTATGCATTTGCATTTAGTGCACAGTACTTCTTTTGGGTTCTCTTCCGCTATTATATCTGCTTCGAGATACGTTTGCACACCTATATCAGCCTTACTTAAAACTGTTGAAGGCTTGCAATCTAGAGCTTTGTAGGAAAACCCGAATGTGGATCGTCTTTGAGCGGTACTTTGGCGATAAGAGTCAAGAAGTTTCATGCCTCTGTGGAGGCTAGCCGCCAATTGCTTAGTAGGCACAGGACAAGCTTCACTTTTATGTGTAGACAAAGCACTATATAGGTTGAACACCTCACTGGACATAGCCGGAGAAGGTTTCAAAACTTCTGTAGTTGATTGGTTCTCTCTGTCAATATCTTTTTGTGATGCGGTGGACATTGATGATGTCCTCAAGCTTTTCCTACTACTTCTAATCTTAGGAGAGACGCTCTCAGTGGGAGTGGTTAGTACAGGAGAAGCACTTACTGGATCTATACTGAGGCAAGGTGACACAGGATTTACTGAGAAGTGTTCTGTATCATTTGAAGTATCAGGTACTGATGCAATTGCAGAAACAAGAGCGTCAGGAACTAAGTCTTGACATGATGGAACATTCTCCGCCGTGCTTGGTGCATCGCCATGGTTTGAGCCGCTAATACAAGAATGAAGAGAGTTGGTTGTTGAAGCAGGCTCTACAGTTGAACTATGATCCATGGTTTGCTCAGTTGCTTTGATCTGATCTGTGATGATGCCGCTTTCTGCCACAGTTAATACATTATCAGTAGTCGCTGTCTCATGATTCTCAGTTTGGCAACTTGCATCCTCCATATTAACATCTGTGTCTTCCGGAAACTGATTTCCTGTAGATTGGCCATCAGATGATTTAAGGTGGGAGTTTCTGTAATTTTCATCCTTCAGGGCCACAGTTTGTAAGGATGAATTTATTCTCTCTACTTTGCACATCTCCTGATTGTTCTCCTCGACAGTTGGAGATGACTGCAAGCCTATCTGAGCGCAAAGCCTTTCAACAGCCTCCTCATCAATTTCCATCTCAGTATCCCCATCATCATCTCCATGGGCTAATGACTTTGGATGACTCAGGCCAAAGCTTCTTAACAAACTCATACTTCTACGCGCATTCCAGGAAGTGGTATAAGCTGTGTTTGGGTTGGTTGGGCTGTTTCCATTATTCTTCACCCTTTGCAGTTCCTCCTGCACAGTTTTACATTAGAAGTTACATTCACATCTGTATAATTGTATTTATAATCAATAGGGTAACTAAAAGAATGCATACCCTCAGCTGGCGTATCACTTCCCGCAAGAAATTTACATCATCCTGCATTACTTCATTGACAACAGCCTTGTTCTGTATCGACTTTGCACGCTGAGCAAATCTCAAGGTGCTGAAGGTTTCACTTCTACAACTGCAGTTTAGGATGCAATTTTATTTTGCAGAAAAGTTGAGGGTAAAATTATTTTGTAGAAAGGTAAAGGTTCTCCATTTAAATACCTTTGCGAGGGAGAAACTGCACAAACCATAGCTAACTTTGCATTCCCACCAAGAGATTCCTGTAATAGAAATGTCAGCCTGGAATCTCTGTAGGGTATATGCCTTTGCTTCCCTGTTTGTGAAATTTCTGCGAGAATGTTGATCAAATTCCTGCAGGTAAAAACTCGTACAGTTAACATTTAGCTACTCTTCTCAGTTTTAAACTCCGTAGAATCACATCTGTAAAATGTCAATAAAAAAAAAATATGGCATAGAAGTCAAAAGTTTACGACCAATTTTTTCAAATTTTGTTCCTTTTCCCCTTAGTTTTGGTCCTTGTTATCAAAATTCAAATTCCCTCGATAAACAAAATGCATTATTGACTGGAAAAGAACAATCAACAAGCAGCCAGATCAACAAAATTATTCTGATCTTACCCAAGTTGAGAAAGTGATCGATTGATATTCCCAGCTTCCTTCAAACGTTCTCCTGCGGCACCAGTCGATTTTTGTCTTTCGGAGCCAGCCAAATCAACAAGATTTATTCTACTTGTTTTGAAGCTGCTTAGACCATCTGCAGCACTCTATTACATGAAAATGCTATTAGATATCGATTCCCCATAACATTATAATAAACAATGAACTAAATAATTGCTAGACTAGTAAGCCTCATAGCCTATTCTCAAAAACCTTACAGTTGCCAATAAACATTAACAATTTATTAAAGGATAACAGCCAACCTTGCAGTGGGACTCAACAACACAAGTAAATACACAGTGTGACCTTGAGCTCTCTGCATTTACACTTGTTGCACCAGTCCTTCTGTTAGCCAAGCCCTGCACCAGTTTCAGATGCCAGTTTCAGATGCAAGCATTACTACTGAAGATACTCATTTCAAAGCAACAAAATAGCTCAGACTGTCAACAGTGCAAGACGTTGACATGCTATATAAAGATCTTTTGTAGTCATGTTATTTCTGAAATTTCAGTTTGCATAGCATCGGTAACAAAGCTGAAACCCAAGTGTACATGTACGTTTGAGCAATCACTTCAGAAATCTATCAAGAATAGAACGGGATTATTTTCCAAAGAGGAACATGATAGGAAATGGTGTAACAAACCTTAATCAGAAGTTGTGACAAATCCTTCAAGTTTTTAACATAGCCCTCAGTCAGATTTTCAACATAAACACCGGACTTGACATCTTCTCTAATCTGGTACAATATAAATTAAAAAAGATTGAACACATATTCTCTTTCCTTAAAATGTAAATCAAGTTAAAGTTGTAAGCTCTTTTTACCATCAGGTTCTTTTGGCTCGGATCCAAAAGATCTGTTATTTGCTCGTTGTATATCTGAATGGAAGATGGAAAAGAGAACCACAAATATCAAGCTTTGAGAAATGAAAACATCAACCACATCGACAAACTAAAGTAGCATCTACTCATCGAACCTCAAGAAAAGAACATCGGCACTGGTAAGTGAGCTGCCTTTCAGCGTGCTTCACTTGCTCCTGCAAGCAAAAGACAACCTTTAAATATGCTGCCTCTTTAACAAGATGAAACGGACTGAAAGTAGAAAAACACCAAACATCACCTCACTGATACGAGCGAAGAGCAACTCGAAGACACGTGGTGTCAAACCTCTTTGGTCACCACTAAGGTGCTCTTCCAACAATCCGTTTGCAGGACCCCACATGGTATACGTTTTCCCACTACCAGTCTGATGAAAAGTGTTTTCATGATAAAAGTTCAGAAGTTAAAATCACAATCATCTGGTTAAGAAACTGCTATTCAAGCCTAAAGCAACACTTTGAAGAAATGATAAGAACCTGTCCATAGGCAAAAACAGAACTGTTAAATCCAGCCAGACAGTTTTCTACAAGAGGGGCTCCCACAAGCTGAAAGATTTCATCCTGCAAAGAATACAAGAAAGATAAGGAATTAGCCTATCTAAATCGTGTGATGCTATAGTATAATGACACCTCAACCATTGACACTAAACTCTTACCTGAGTTGACTCCGGGTCAGCAATTGAATCAAACGTGAAAGTATGTTCATTAATTGTGAGGGCATCGCTGGAAATCTTCTTTACTATCATCTCCTCTTCCTCACCTTTGCTTGGAGGCTTCATTCTGACTATAACCTACAAAAACGAGACAAGGGCTCAAGTTGAGTATCTTGTGAGGTGACATTAATATCGTTGAATATGCAGCAGCAACGACTTCGAGATTAGCTTGAACACTACAATGTCCCATTTATCAAAAATCATTTGTTATTCAGCTAGTTAATCTCTTGCATTTCTCCTTCATTTCACTTGTGAGAAATCGAACTAATTGTAAGTGACATTTCAGGTCTCCCTCACATCACATGAAACTAAAACCTTCTAAAAATACGGATTTTCCTAGACAATCTCCAATTTCTGAGCAATTAACAACAAAAAAAAACATCGAAAGCTCAAAATACCTTTACACCAGAGTCTGAAACCCCAGCGATTCCATTTTCCGACGCAGCGTCCGCGATGAGCTTCCGTTTAAGAGGATTAGACGACGGCGGACGCGGAGGCAGTGGACTCTTCAGTTTCGCCGGAGATGACCTAGAATCAGGCATCAGCGAGTTCAGATCCGGAGGTGGAGCATTCTCTTTCGCGGATCTCAGCTTTCTTTGGGACTTTGATTTAGTCAGGCTAGGGTTCGGCGATTGCGGCTCTCCGATTTCCCGCAAGATAGCGTTTCTTGGCATCATGAAGTGCTTCATCTCTCTCTGAAATCAATTCGAATCTCTAGAGAAGAAGAGAGGAAGAGCGAAAATCTGCTTCTGTTCGGGCAAAGCAACGAGGAAGAAGGGAAGGAGAGAGAAGGAGAGAAAGAGAGAGAGCCGTTAATGGCGAGAATTTGAATTTTCTAGATCGAAGCACTTGTTTTCACAAACATCACATGTGTGTATATTCTCATCTATCTATCGTGACCGCGAGATGAATCCAACGGTTGAGAAAAAATAAGGGCCCATGTTTTGTTTGTTCGACCGTTTGAATTTTTTTTTCTTATGATATTTCAATCCAACGTGGCACGTGTGTTTTTAGATTAGGTTGGGTTGGGCTTAAAAATAAAAGCCCAACTGAATATCGATTAATTACACAGACCAACGAAATTCAAACGGTATGTATGATTAGGGAAGTTCCTTTGAACTGATTTGATTAATTATTGGGCTTTTCACTGAGATTTTGCAAGCTATTTCTCGTTATCTATATAGAGAATATTTGATGAATTTTAAAAAAATTATATTTAATTAAATTTTGTTTAATTTTATGAAATTTTCCTATTCAAATTCATGTTTTCTCAAATTTCTTTCCTCTCATTTTTTAAGTTCGGAGATGTAATTTGGGTATTGGATGTGGGTATCATCAGAATTGGAGAAAAAAAGAGTAGACTAGTTGAAGAAATAAAGTCTCGTAGTAGTAAAATTGGAAGAATCTTAAAAAAAATGGAAGGTGTTTGGGTTATATTGCAATGAAATAGATAAATCGTAATCAAATATTTTTTTTATGAGATTATTGGCATTTAGACACAAAGATGACCGTCAAGAAATTAGACCAGGAAGGATGACGGATAAGACTTTCCCCTAATATGTATGATTATTTGTTCGTGTGAAAGTCTTATCTGGAGAAAAAAAATATATATTACTGATTGTTTATATAGTAAAAACTCTTTAAATTAATAATGTTGGGATTTTGATATTTTATTAATTTATAGAGTTATTAATTTATAAATTTCTAATAAAAATATTTATTTTATTTTTTATTAATTTAAAAAAATATATTTTTTTAAATTTATTCATTAAAACATTTTTTCTTAAATTAAAGATGATCTACAAAAAAATTTAAATTTTAAATAAATAAAAAAGTTTTACTAAACTCATATTTTAGTAGATTATCTCACTTATATATTTATATTAATTTATTTATAATAATTATCAATTTATAATATTAATGGAACTATATTTACGTAAGAATTTTGTTAAAATTATTATTTTATTATCTTATCGATTTGTATTAAATTTTGAACCGGCCCAACATAGAACCGAAAAAAATTATTAATTTATAGAATTTATTAATTTATAGAATTTATTAATTTATCGAGTATTAATTTATTGTTTTTCTACTGTATTATTATTGTTATTTATTTATACAATATTTCTCGTTACATTTAAAATGTTTATGATAGTGTTTTATGTAGAAAAAAAAATCATATTTTTTCGCATAGGAGGGATTTGATGCAACACGGTGGCTAGATAGGAATCTCGTTCGTCTTTGTACAACTCTAGGATTAATTAAAAATGACCTCATTGTTATAACACATATCATATATGGACTCTTATACCGGCCCATTAGGCCCATCAGGGCATTGTACTTAACCTAGATTCCCTATGTACTCTATATATACATTACAGTGATTAATAAAGTTTCTAAGTTTTCACAACACGTTATCAGCACGATAAGACTCTCTGAGCGAAAAACCCTAATAAATCCGGCCACCACCAAAACCCTAAAAGCAAGTCGAAACTTAAAAGACGCATATCTTCCAAACCGTGAGGAACCAGAAGACGATCTACATATCAAATCGAAGCCCTCGACGAGACGAATCTACTGGTGAAAACCGTTTGTCGATCCAACGTCGGACGCGCCCTCACGCACACTTACAGTACACGACGATCAACCGAAAAAAAACCAGATCCGAGTTTTTTCTTCTTCAACCAGCAGCTTCTCCAGTTTTGGTGATCAATCCTTGGAATTTGTAGCGGCTAACTGAGGTCTATTAGCTCCCAGTTTCATTAGCCTGTCAGAAATCCAAAGGTGGAAAAGCACACCAGCAAATGGAAACCATAGTCGTAGATAGTGGATCCAGCCACACTATCTTAAGAAACAAAAGTTATTTCATAAACCTAACCTATCAAACCGCAAATATTAGCACCATCGCGGGTCCCTCAAACCTTATCGAAGGATATGGCCATGCCTATGTGTTGCTATCAAATGGCACACAACTTGAAATACCAGATGCTCTATATTCTCCTAGTTCGAAGAGAAATCTTCTGAGCTTCAAGGATATAAGACAGAATGGTTTCCACATAGAAACCCAAGGTCAAGGGAACAAAGAATCCCTCCTAGTCACTAAAACCGTAGACGGCCATAAACAAATCCTCGAAACCATACCCGCGCTCTCTACTGGACTTTACCATGCTAAAGTCAGTATGATTGAAGCTAATACCACTCTCAAAGCCCGGTTTACTGATTATACTATTTGGCACGACCGGCTCGGTCATCCCGGTGCAAATATGATGCGTAAACTAATTCAAAACTCTCAAGGGCATACCCTCAAAGAAAACCGAGCTTATCCTCAACACCTCATGTGCACAGCTTGTTCTCAAGGCAAATTGATCACTCGGCCTTCACCAGTTAAAATCTCTAAACAAACACTTCATTTCCTAGAAAGAATCCAGGGCGATATCTGTGGACCTATACATCCATCTTCCGGACCATTCCGGTACTTCATGGTCCTTATAGACGCATCGACCCGTTGGTCATATGTTTGTCTCTTGTCCTCTCGGAACCAAGCCTTCGATAGGTTCTTGGCCCAAATCATAAAATTGCGGGCCCATTTCCCTGACTTCCCACTAAAGACTATCCGCCTTGACAATGCTGGTGAATTTACCTCACAAGCGTTTAATGACTACTGTATGGTCATGGGGGTAACCGTGGAACATCCTGTAGCACATGTCCATACTCAAAATGGATTGGCTGAATCATTCATTAAACGCATTCAATGGATAGCCCGACCATTACTCATGAGAGCAAAGCTCCCGGCCTCAGCATGGGGACATGCAGTATTACATGCTGCTGAACTCATACGCATCCGGCCATCTAGTGAACACAAATATTCCCCATCCCAACTACTCTCGGGTCATGAGCCAGACATCTCCCATCTCAAAACATTTGGGTGTTCAGTATATGTACCCATTGCTCCACCACATCGAACCAAAATGGGACCTCAAAGAAGGATGGGAATATATGTTGGTTTTGACTCTCCCACCATCATAAGATATCTCGAGCCAACCACTGGAGATCTCTTCAAGGCCAGATATGCGGATTGCCAATTCGATGAATCGGTATATCCCTCTTTAGGTGGTGAGACAAACAAGCTGGTCAAAGATCTTTCATGGAATCAAACATCATTAAATTGGCAAGATCCTCGGACTCTAGAATGTGATTCAGAGATCCAAAAGATTATTCATTATCAAAAGCTAGCTAATCAATTGCCAGATTCCTTTGCTGACCCGACCAAAGTAACCAAATCGTACATCCCAGCTTGTAATGCACCAGTACGAATAGCTGTCCCAACGGGACAGACTCAAGTTGCTACAGAGTCTGCACCACGTCTCAAACGGGGCAGACCTCTCGGTTCCAAAGATAAGAATCCCCGGAAATCAAAGAAAGGTGCAATAACCGAAACCGGGATTCCTGCAATATCAGACATAGCCGCGGCTGAGACTCAATCTAATGAACCCTCAATGGAAGTTCGGGACGCCGAATCTCCAGGTTCAGAAGATAACAATGAGATCTCCATCAATTACAATATGTCCGGAATACAATGGAATCGAAAAGAAGTCGACTTAAATGCACTCTTTGCATACAAAGTAGCACTTGATGTTGCGCTCACGCAAGAGGATCTAGAACCCACGTCAATAACACAGTGTACACATCGAACAGATTGGCTAAAATGGAAAGAAGCCATAAACGTGGAGTTAAAGAGTCTCAAACTCAGAAACGTGTTCGGTCCGATCATCCAGACCCCATCACACATCAAGCCAGTGGGCCACAAATGGGTCTTTGTGCGCAAAAGGAACGAACTCGGTGAAGTCGTTCGATACAAAGCACGGCTTGTAGCACAAGGATTCTCACAGAGACCCGGAATCGATTATGAGGAGACTTATTCTCCAGTGGTGGATGCAACAACATTCCGATTCCTCATAAGTCTGGCCATAAGAGAAAATCTTGATCTGCGGTTAATGGATGTTGTAACCGCATATCTCTATGGGCCCCTGGACAACGAAATATATATGAGACTCCCAGATGGCATTGAACTAAAAGACAAAAATGCATCTCGAGATCAATACTGCATCAGGCTGAACAAATCCTTGTATGGACTGAAACAAAGTGGGCGTATGTGGTACAACCGCCTCAGCGATTACCTCATCAAAGAAGGCTACAAAAATGACCCCATCAGTCCATGCATCTTCATCAAGAAGTACTCAAACAAAGGATTTGTAATCATAGCAGTATACGTGGATGATCTAAACATCCTCGGAACATCTGGTGAGATCTCCCAAACAGTCGACTGCTTAAAAGCAGAATTCGAAATGAAAGACCTAGGCAAAACAAAATACTGTTTGGGATTACAACTTGAGTACATCAAAGGAGGAATCCTTGTGCATCAATCGGCTTATATCGAAAAGGTACTCAAGCGATTTAATATGGACCAAGCTCACCCATTGACCAGCCCAATGGTAGTTAGAAGCTTAAGTGATGACCCTCTTGGTCCCAAAAAGGATGATGAAGAAATCCTTGGTCCTGAAAATCCATACCTCAGTGCTGTAGGAGCGTTAATGTACCTGGCTAGTCACACTAGACCAGACATATGTTTCGCCGTGAACCTCCTCGCTCGATATAGTTCATCTCCAACTCAGAGGCACTGGAACGGTATAAAACATCTCCTAAGATACCTTCGAGGTACTCAAGACTTAGGACTCTTCTATACTAACCAAAATAAAGATGGGTTAGTCGGCTTCGCCGATGCAGGATATCTATCAGATCCGCACAC